TATATATATATATATATATATATATGTATATATAAATAGAATGGAATTGCGTATATATAGGCAATTCTATTCTATTTATTTAATAAACGTAAATCTGGAGCAACAGACCTCTAATTCATTGTACGCAACTCTGGAATTCAATGAGCAATACGAAGCATAAAATGCGTTTGTGCGCGACGATCACGATGATCAACGTGAAAAGGGTTCTGAATTTACGAAATAAAATGTTTGAAAGGGTACAAAAGTTTACCTGAATCTTCGGCAGCTGGATCTTACATCGAAGTACTCGCACATCCTTTTCGGATAAAACCAATGAAACCTTCATACAGCTTTCAGTTCTTTTTCTTTTCCGGAAAAGAGGAAATACGAAAGGGGTTAGGGATATAGATCTTTTAGAGTATAATACAGGCTAACCGTCATTGAAACGTTCTGAGCTCATATCTCTATTCCCACTTTTATTGATCGATGAAATTCGATATATTCAACACTCAAGGGGATTTTTTTATCGATCTTACTTCTTTAAACTAATAATTAGATCAATGTACTATTTTTTTTTATAAAAGTTTAAAAAGATCTCGATATTTTTAATTGTTCGAAACAAAAAATGTAGTTGTACAATTTATATTAAATTTATATTACAAAGACAGATATAAATTTGTATTATAAGAATAGAAACTCTTCACTGTTTTATAGAGATCCATTTTCATATAATACTCATTGCGATATTATCAAAAATAACAAGATCGCATTTTTTTATACATCTGTAAATTAGAGCGAACATTTTATAGTGAATCGAGGTCAGTACCATCCTCCGTAACAATTAGACGATATAATAATGCTATTTACGCCTCGGATCATTGGATTCTTAGGATTGATTTACGATCAGCGTAATTTATGAATATATCACAGTGGTTATATAAATATATATATATGGCTATATAAATATATGTGTAACAGCTTTTTATGCAATATAATTACTAATAATTTATAATTACTAATCTAACTACAATATTATTTTTAATACAAGCTAGTAGGCTTTATATAATTCGTAATTTTTTAAATTTAAAACCGATATTACAAAATATTTAAAAAAGTATCATAAGATGTGTATGTCATTGTTAATATTGTTATTATTGTCACAAATATTAAAATTTGAACAAAGCAAGTAAGTCTTTAATACAAAAATGAAAAAAAAAGAGAAAAATATAGAGAAAGGACAAAATACCTTGCAATACAATGGAGTGGCAATACGAGCGAGGGAGGTAAGACGAGCTACAAAAGTGCAATGCTCGAGCAAGATTTGCGCGATGCCATTAACCCATTAATACATATAGAATCCGATTGCACGTCGCAATTTGCATCACTATTTGAATTGCTGAGACTCTTTGTAACTATATAATACAATGATAGTTTCGGCAATGCACGATCAACTATATGCATCGCCATGCTTATATATTTTCTTACCTCTGCATTATTTTATAAATCATATTCGATTTATTAATTCAAATAGTAAAAGATTTTAATATTGATCAAGTTTTGTACGAATATCTATTACATTCATGTCCAAATATTTTCTGTATTTAATTAAATTAGAATTAATTGTCCTACTTATAGAAAAATGATTAGAATTGATGCAATAAGTCGAATTTTCGCGATTATCAAATGTGATTGAGAAAAAGAGTTTGAATTTGTCTTCGATCGTTCGCGTCGGCGTTTAGTTCAGTAACAGTCGATCAGGCAGGCAGTTGCAAAAAGTATAAGCGAGAAAGGGGGAGAGGTAACACAGAAAAGGGAAGGAGGGAGCGAACGATAGAAGGCACGAGTCGTTGAAGGTCCTCGACCTACGTTGTTAAGGACAGAGACCCCATCTAGAGACGTAAGACGCCCTTTTGCTTGTTTTCTACTTTCGCGTATAGTTTTGCGAAATTCCATTAATTTATAATAAATAAAATTGTATTTTTTTTTTTTTGTAATAAAAGGTTTCCTACGATTTATGATTCCTGTCGTGATATGATATAATACGTTTATTGGCAATTTTCTATATTTACAAAATTAATTTTAAATATATATATAAATATATCATTATTTTTTTCCGCAATGAATTATATGTTAATTTTTTGTAATCGCATAATTTTTGGAATTGTTTTTTATAATCTTGGATTTCTTGGAATTCTATTTGTTACTCTGTATTAAAATTTGTGCTTAATCGTTGTACTAAGAGTTTGTAATATTACAGCAACAACGTTTATCATCAGGAGACTCAAAAGGGTTAAAACGAATCGATCACTCGACGAAGGTACCGTAGGGTCTTCGACCTCTTGTCGTGCGGTGAAGGTCCGCGGATAACCTACTCCTTGGTTACTGCACTCGATGTCGGTGACCGGGACGTCGATCCCTCAGAAGAGGCGAAAGACCTCTGTGGACTACTCGGAACCGCGAAATAGAGGACTACGACATTCGCTCGATGTAAATGAAAAAAGAGAACACGTGGCCTGTTGCACTGTCGAGCTCAAATTAATAATTTACACCTGTATAAATTCGCAGAAGATGTAGATCTTATTAAAAGCATTTCTGAATTTGAAAATAACATGAAATTTTTTGAGTTTACCTCATCGAATTCATTACTAATGAGTATTTATTTTTTACTCAAAATAATTTTTTATTCAATAGGCATAAATTTAATTATTTATTTTTCTCTTTCTTATAGGAATGTATTAAAGATATTTTATGAGTCCATAAATTCTTAATTATGAAGAGCAAAAAATTATTGGTCCTTCGCTTCCAATATTTCTATAATAAACAGCGGATTCGAAGAAAAAAATGCTCGCGAATTCGCTGTATCTCGTTATAGTTATAGTATGCCCTTCGATTCTTATTCAAGGTCTACAACGGGGGTGCAGTGAACATCGGCTCTTCGGGGTTTCCATAGCGACCGCCACTAAACTACCCTTGCAACGCCCACCCGAGGGCTGCGTTTCTACTTTCCACCCTCTGTCTCAACCGATCGAAAGCTATCGCGCTTGCAATCGTCCTGAAAGAAAGCGATATAGATCCTGCAGCAAGATGTTGTTGTCCTTATCAATATTGAAGAATAATTATTACTAACATTAGAGTTTTAAATCTTTTTTATAGAAATGTAATTAATTTTCTCCTTTTATTTATTAAAGAAAATCTGTTCTATATTTCTTTTTAAATTATGAAGTTAGATATCTTGATATTAATAATAAATAAGATATATTGTATCTATTATGTATCTATATGAGTTTTTTCAAACACACTTTATTTACTATTTTGATTTTAAGATGCTAAAAATCATAGAGTAAATTGAAGATAGAAATATATGTCAGTCAATTCTCATATGCCAACCTGAATTACCTGAATATTGCACTTTATCGATTGGACGGTAGACATGCGTTGCTATGACTACGAGAATACACCTAAAACTACCTTCGGCCCTTGTGGTACGTGACTTTTATAAGGCGGTTTATGATGTACTCCCGTATATTTGCGTCTGTATCGGCAGGACGAAGGACCTAACTATGAACAAAGACATGGGTGTAGACGTACGTCGCCTTCATCCGGAAAAACTTTATCAAACTCTATAATCAACTCCTTCTATTTTAATTCGACATAATGCATCCTGCATACATATATGTGCATGTGTATATGTATGTACGTATATGTGTATAGAGGATTCAGACTCGACGCATCATCTGCTAATAGCATATTCCTTTTTGTTATTTTGAGACCAAAATTCTTATACCAAAATGTTGAGATTACAATAGTTTTTCAATTATAAACATTTAAAGTTAGCGAATCATACCACCTAAAGTTTGCACTTTTTGGCATTTTATTCTACATACAATATAACGCAAAATGCCAACTATACGCGCCTATACACCTATACACGCGAATTTTAGGCAATAGGATTCGCTAACTTTAAAAGCTTATAATTCAAAAACTATTATAGCCTCGACACTTTGTGTTTTTAAAAATTGAATCGAAAAGTTCTCTACAATTTTGCAAATTTCGCAATGGTTGACGAAATATTAATTTCTAAATATTGTCGAATAAGTGCGTATTCAGTTGCTCAATCATTAACTATCACAAAAATTGCAAAATGGAGGGACTTTTTGATTTAATTTTTATCAGAGATAGCATTATGTGATGGGGCAATTGCTTGCTCGGCAATTTTTAGACATTAATATTCAATTAATTATTGTGAAGATTGCAAAATGATAAAAGACTTCGATTTAATTTTTAATCAGGAATAGCGCTATATGATTAGTGTTCGCTATTTAAGAAACATTCTGTATATATATGAATTTAAAAAAAATATGTATATACGTATGTATATTCCATTCATGTAACATTGATTTTTAAAACTGCGGTATTGTAGACATTATACTTTCTACAAAAATAAAATTATAAAAATAGAATAGTTTGATTTTTTTTACAAAGCATAATTTTATATTTTTTTTACAAAGCATAATTTTAATAATGAATATAATCATTAATCGCACATAATTAATTAATTAGAATGAACAGATTGATACGGAAGGTTAAATAAACTCTCGATAAATGAGCTTACGATTAAATTTGGAAAAATATTCGTCCCAATTTCCAAAGTTCTTCCCAGACAGGGTGACTAGAGGTAACGCAATCTCTTTCTCCCTCGAGTCGGACTCGCGGTCCCTCGCGATGCTGTGCAAAGCAAGGGTCGGTTGACTCTCGTCGCCATCCCTAAAGCATCTCAGAACAAAGACAATTCCTAATTCGATTGCGATGCTTTGTTCGTTCTATTTGGAGACACGTGTGATGATTCGTTTTGAAGTTTCCAATCTCTCGTATCTACTCTACATATTATTTCACGCATTATATTCATCGTCATATATAATATAACATCAATATACATTTCATTCCTATAATTATTATATTATAACATCTTTCAAATTTAAGTAATATTGTTTATTATAATTTTTGTAGCATAAAAACTTCTTTCTAAATCTCTAGTACTAATACTTTTAGATTAAAAATAATACAGTACTAAGAAATAATATACCCAAGCAGAACAACAAATCACGAAAATATCAAAATGATATTAAAATGAATCGGAAATGATTGAAAAATGATTTTTAATGATCATTTTGAAGTCATTTTGATATCATAATTATTGTTCTGCTTAGGATACTTCTTATATATACTGGAAGCTTTAGAAGTTTAGATAGCCATTCAAGTTTTAACTAATCCTGATAAACAAGTAAAATAAAATAAATAAACAACGAATTAGCAAGGCATGTTGAGCGATATCGCTATTAGAATGAAACAGAGTTTGTTCCGGCGTTATGGTGGCGTTTGATAGGCATTATCGCCATATGGTGAGTTTTCGTCGATTGGCAAAGATACCGGAAGAGAAGGCATCGGGATTTCGGGGCTGATTGCGCGGGACAAGGTCGTCGTTACCCTGACAACGGTATAGTCGGTGGCACGTGCTGCCTTAGTTCCTCCTCGTCTACTGACCCCAAAATGTGCGCGCGACGATTACTTTGGACGTACTCATAGGATTTGGGTTACTGTCACGGGTTAGATAGGAAATGACGGAGATAAGATATCAAGAATGTTGAATCAATTTTCATTCTTTGAATTTATTGATATAGTCATGCGATGCAGGATTTGTAATATTATGTGTCGGAAGTATATAATAAGATTCAACTCTATAATCATGTAATGTTTAATCATAAGATATTAATTTATATATACACTCAACTAAATTAGAAAGTTAAATTTAAGAAAGGGATTCATATTTATTTCGTTGAAAGTTGCTGATAATGGAATAACGGCTTTTATAATCGATCAAACAGTTCTAAAAAGAAATATAGCTGAATAACTCCCCTTATATTGTACATATACTTGTCTTTTTTTTGTATACATTCAAATAATAAAATAAAAATATTTTTCCAATATATAATATAGTCTATAAATACAGTTAACATATTATATTGAGAGGAAAATAATATACGTGATGGGAAGAATATATCCGGAAACATGTCAAGAATTAAAAAAAAAAATAGAATAAAGAGTTTGTCTTCGAAAAGTTTGTCTCCAAAGGAGAGCGAATTTTGTGTTATCGAGTAGAATATGAAGTGAGAATATGTATTCCCCCTTTTTCTTCTCGAAATAGGAGACTTGTGAGGTAGTCAATCTCTTTCTTTGTTTTCAGCTCTACATGTAACGCAATATTTCGATCGTAGGGCAGCGTTTCGTGGACAAAGAACTTGCTCCTTGTTGATGTATAGTCGTTCTGAAGCTCGGAATCCGGTGAGCTCGGTGAAGACTAAATGGGGTGAAGGTCTCCAGGGTTGAGAATCGTGCCGGGACTTTAGGGACGGTTAGTGGAGAGCAAGATCGAACTTGGCTGAAAAGGATCGGGGGTGGCGATGGCGCGTTCTCGAACTCTAAGCTTCAAGCTCATTTCCTACATCTATTTACGAAAACGCTGAATATATAGTCCTCTGTTTCCGACTTTGTTATCTTATCACGTATCATACTCGCATGGGTTCGACTCCCATATCGAAAGATTCGATATACTTATAGTACATGTATAAAAGAATCAGAAGAATGATATTTAAAATAAATATTTTTGTAGATAAAATAGATATTTATGAGTATATATTATATATATTTATAGTGTATGAAAAAAAGTAAAATAAATCTAAAATATAGCCCTCGAATAACAAATATAGATAATGTCTTCCTACGAAAAAAAAACAGTTCGTTTAATCCTATTTTCTGCATTAAAGTATTAAATTACTCTCAAAGAATGACTGCTGATCGCGAACACTGATTCCATAGTATATATCAAGCTTTATGAAGATATCCCTAACCTACAGCAAGCAGCATCATGGTGTCAATCACATGCACATACACGTTTCCCCTTTGTAGCATCCAACGCACGTTACAAGATAGTAATGCATTGCATCGCTTTGGCAATGTATTTGTAGGAAACTATACATCTTCCCTCTCTCTGTCGTAGTTATCCGCCCTCCTGTCATTCCTACTTTTGCCCTCTCGTGCTTTTCGCGCAGCAGACACATGCGTGATCTCAAGTATACATATAAATTCAGGGGATGCTCGGGTCAATAATCCTTATAGAAACAATAGAAATATTACATTCTTGCGATATTAGCTATAATTATTAGAAGTATCTCAATTTATTAAATTAAATAATAAAACCTCTTTGATATGATCGATATCAACTATAATATCGATATACAGCTATAATAATCATATATAATTTTTTCGTTTCAGGTAAGTTCATGATGACCGTTTTTGGTGCCTAATTCCTTCTATATGCAATCGAATCACAATGTAAGTCCTTATATAATAATAATTATTTACAATAAATATTAATTATATGAGTGACAAGTATTATATTCCTGCATTTTGTTATGTAATATTTATAATTCGTATTCGATTAATATGGAATAAAGATAAGAAATGTTGGAAAAAAGAAATAATAATAATTTTTTATAATATTTTTCAAAACATCGACAATTTGCATTATATCAAGAATATTTGCGTTTTGTACGCTCGTATTGACTTTCATTCGATTGTTAAAAATCATTGCTCGCGTGAATGTCGCGGTCATGCTAATAATAAAAACGAGTGTCAGGAAACCACGTGTACGTATGTACACGTGAAACCTGTTGCTATGTATTAAATGAACAACGTTTGAATAGTAGTCAGTGTACACGCTGAAAAGTAGATGTCGCCCAGCGATACGATGCTAGCAGACTCTATCGGATGTATTGTAAAGTAGAGTGATCTGGCAAGCTTTCTCACATTTTCTCCTCTCTTTGCGGTCTGAACTGTACTGCCATCTACTAGTTTGACCGACCCGTCGAGAAAGAGTGATCTGCCCGATACGGAAGTTACCTACTTGACTGACTTTAGTCAGTCTGATTACATACGTCTTTGATCCT